CTTCTGCTCACTTACCCCTGATTTCTACTGACATTTTATCTTATGTCAATATGTATATGTACACAAACATAAACACTTATACATACACGCGAGTCTATTCCTATTCTATGTTTATAGTGGAGGTCTCCTGAGGTGACTGCCTGATTCACCATATACAAGGGTACTTCAAAATTTCATGAACTTTCTGAAATACCCAAGTATTTATTCAATAAATATTTTGTCCACTGCTACCGTTGGTGACAAATAAGGGACTGTGGATGTCTTCTCAGGATTTCTAACTATTCTTCACTCTGAAGCAGGTGCATAAAGATGGACAAAAACGCCCCAGCCACACTACTAGCGCTTGCTGCACGAGGTCTGCTGAGTAATGAGCGTGCAGCTATCCATGCCCTTGAAGAGCTCCCGAGCGGCATGTTTGCTCNTGGTGGCAGAGGGAGAAGTTTTGAGTGCTCTGATTCTGTAGTTCTCTCATGTCCTGCAAGAGCACTTTTCTTTTCCCTTTTTGCTTCGTTTCCCCATCATTACTAAATGCCAAAGGATGCTTCACCCTTCCTCTTTGCCTTTTCTCTTCTTCCTTTTTTGGGGGGGCGGTTGGGGGGTGGGCTGATATGGGGATCCAAACCCTTGACTTTGGGGTTATAACACTGTGAAGCTACTTTTAAGTCTTGTAAGTCTTCCCTACCTCTTTAAATGGCACATATTTTGAAGTCTCTTCGCTATAGACCCTGCTCTTATCTTCCGGGATATCTTTTTGTTATTTTCAGACTTATTATGGGCCTAGTCATTCTGGCCGTACTTTTAGATCACCTTTAAGCTTGCCATCTTTGTTCCTCAGTATCTCTAGCAGCTCTTCTTGGTCTGTCTTTGCTTGCACTAAGCCCACGGATGAGCGTGTGACAGATCATGTGCTGGAATATCGTGCATTTTCTCGTTTTACTCACAATTATTTTGAAGTTTTGTCATCTGTTTCTAAGTGATGATGAGTACGTGCTTCTGTTCCTAAGTGATGATGAGTATGTGCTTTTGGACAGATTTACATTTGTTTTTTCTTGGTGCTTTGTATCATTTTGGAAGGAAGTATTGAGAGGCAGGTAGCTAGATGGTCAATGTTGTCTTCTGCTCACTTACCCCTGATTTCTACTGACATTTTACCTTATGTAAATATGTATATGTATGAAGGCATACACAAACATAACCACTTATACTTATACTCGAGTCTATTCCTATTCTATGTCTATAGTGGAAGTCTCCTGAGGTAGCTGCCTGATTCACCATATAGGAGGGTACTTCAAAAAGTTCATGGAAAAACAGAATTAAAAGATAATACGGATCTTTTCATGAACTTTCTGAAATACCCAAGTATTTATTCAATAAATATTTTGTCCACTGCTAACCTTGGTGGCAAATAAGGGACTGTGGATGTCTTCTCAGGATTTCTAAATATTATTCACTCTGAAGCAGGTGCATAAAGATGGACCAAAAGTCCCCAGCCACACTACTAGAGCTTGCTGCACGAGGTCTGCTGAGTAATGAGCGTGTAGCTATAGATGCCCTTGAAGAGCTCCCCAGAGGCATGTTAGCTCCGTTTTTCAGTGCCGCCTTCTTGGGTGTTCATAAGAAGGTACTGAAGGCAATGGTGAGGATTTGGCCCTTTCCCTGTCTCCACGTCGGGACATTGAGTGT